CTATCAAGTATCTTATTTATCTTCAGGCTATATGGTCTAATAGTTATTTTAAAAGTGTTTGATCTTTTTAATTCTTATTTGTCATTTATAGGTGAGGTGACCGTTTAAACACCTGTATTATGTTAAAAGTCAAAGTTTCTATAAATCTTTATTCGACATATTCGAACGACATTTTCAAGATCACACAATTACTGTCAACAATTTGGCCTTGTACATTTTATTTACGTGAATTGTTATACTTGTTTATTTCAATCAACAGATATAAACAACTGCATATGAACCCACGTATACCCTTTGTTTATCAAAGATTTTGTTGATAACATACCAAGTACAGAACTGACATTATTTTTTTTCAGTTTAAAGTTTACTAACGCATGTAATTAGCATATCGAGGTTATTTTAATTTTGGAAAAAAAATCCTAACTTTATGCTTCATTTTTTGTATGGAACAAAGCGTTGACTTTTAAGAATCACAAAATTGAGTTTTTTATAGACAATATTGCAAATTACCTATGTCACAACCACAACTTTTTAGAAAGTATACTCGGAAATTTGAGCCTCCTTCAAAGAGTGTAGTAGAGGTATACTTTGGTGCGACATGTTTTCTAATTTCCGATCATACACCATCTATCGCATATCATTTTTAGTTCAGCTGTCCAACCGACCATTTCGAGATATCTCCATTATTCGACACATGTCGTCCGTCATCCTTTAACTTTTACGGAAAACACTGTTATCCTCTAAAATTGCAACCAAGCTTGGTCACAAAAATCTTTATGGTGTCAAGTTTAAAACGCGTCCGATAAACCCACCGACCAATCAACAGCCATTATAGATAGAGAAGACCTGACAGGACAAAAATGTTTGGAATGGTAAGATCTACATACTGCCTGTTTTGACCCAAGTCGCCAGTCAACTCCTTATAGGCTTCATTGTACTTTGATTAATATTTTCTACCATTTTTTTGTGACATATTTTGCGGAACTATAATAGATAGAAAATAACTTTGGCTCGCATTCTTATTATATTGTATTAGTTTTATGCTAAATCTTCAGGTGTACGATATATGCTCCGTGAAGCTCTTGTTATATCATGTTCTTTTGTGCATATGACTACCCCTTTAATACCATCTTAAGGCTATAATTTATATTTGCAGTCTTAAGTTTGGGTGTACTGAGCGATAAGCCGGATATTTTTTCAGATCTCTAAATATTTAATGAAGGATTTTCATTTATATTTCTGATACTTTACTTAAATAAAATTTAGATTAAATTTTAAATACATATATCATTACAGAGAGACTCCGAATACACAAATAACCTAGGGACACTGTATTTTTTCTATGTATTATTTTAATGCCTTTATTTTCATGATTTTGTTCCCGTCGCATAACCACGTGTCATGCTTTCGCACTTAAATCCTTGTTCGTTTTATTTTATTTTTAAGACTGATGACAACATAATTTATTTGATAAACACGTCAATAAGACAGCAACTAAACAGCATAAAATCAAAAGTATACCACTGGACGTGGCCATGCACCAGGAGAAAAGGCCTTCGCAATTGTTTTTATATGCATTTTTTTTTATATTATCAATATTACATTTCGTCTCTGTCAGTGTGTACGAATTTCATTGTTAAAACAACAACTAGAAAACTACAAACTAAATTGTCTTCAAACGCAGGCAACATGGAATACATGTCCATAGTTACATTGATTAAAATTTTGCACCTACCCCATTATGAATTTTCGGTGAGGGAACACTATTCAATAACATAGAAATTGCTCTCGGAATTTCTAACTTCACTGAAAATTTTCAAAGAAATCTATTTCACATTGATGTGAATAAAAATATCTATACCACAAACACCTGTGGTACTATGTTTATTTTTCGAATTAGAGTTTTTACCTCACGAAAAGCACAGTTGTAATTCATTGATCAATGTTTAATTTTCAACCAGTTTCATCTACCTTTAACCAGTTTCAATTCCTTTAATATTAAAAATCATATAACTCAAGACTGCGCTTTTTTAATGTGTTAACTCGTCTATTACGAGCTAAATATGTCACTTAAAGATCTAAATTTTTGTCAAAAATGTGTGGTATTGTCTTTTTTTTCAATCAAATAACAATGCCTAATTCTTCGATAATTCATATTCCCGGAACCTGAGAGGAGCTTTGCTATTTCTGAAAACGGAAAATATGTCTTCAAGTAAAAATGAAGGATATCTGGTATCAGAAATAAAATTAAACGGTGCTCATTTTTCAGATGCGCATTTAGACAATTACTGTCTCTTCATCATACTCAACGCAAGAAGTTCAAACTCCGGGTAATCGAGCAAAGGTCGAAGGCCCATAACTTTTTTTCGTCACGGTAGTTTTATTATTGAAGACCCTCCGACCAAACCTCATACTTCTGATTTAGAGACGAAATATGGTGTGACTTTTCTCTAAAAAAAAGAGGCACTGTACCAACGCACTAAGGTGCAACTCTTGCAAAATATCTACAATATTCCAAACGACAGCAACACTTTTAAGCGAAAGTTTACAGTGATTGGAGAATCAGATATAACGTAAACAGTAATCGGTCTAATAGTGATAATGTTAACTGACCATAAAAAAAGACGAAAAGACATCAAATAAAGATGTTTTGACCGCATATAATAAAGTAAAAAAAAACCACCTAAAATAATGACAAGAGCAAATTATATAAAAAATATTTGCACATAATATAAAAGAAAGAGCACATCATATACGGTACTATGTAAAACATATAAAGCTGATTGCACATACGATAGACATATATAGATATAAGAAGATGTGGTATGAGTGCCAATGAGACAACTCTCCATCCAAGTCAAAATATGCACATCATAATAAGTCATATGCATATCATATAATGTAAAACAGATTTAAGATGATTCCACAACAAAAAATGCAAAGTGTACATCACATAATGTTTCCAAGAAATATAAAAACAAAAGCACATAATATCAGCACAAATTCACGAAATATAATGTGAAAAAGTAAATCATATGTAATGTGGACATAATATAAAGAAAATTATCATTGCTTTGGACATAATATAAGGATATTTGAACATAATACAATGTCATGTGGACATCATGTAAAGGTGATTGCACATCAAATAATGACAAGAGACATCATATGATGTTGTTTCCATGCACATCATATAATGTTGTTTCCATGCACATCATATAATGAAAAGTGCATATCATATAATGTCGTTTCCATGCACATCATATAATGACAAGAGACATCATATAATATCGTTTCCAGGCACATCAATTAATGGCAGGTGCACATCATATGATATCGTTTCCACGCACATCATATAATGACAAGTGCGCATCATATAATATCGTTTCCAGGCACATCATATAATGACAAGTGCACATCATATAATATCGTTTCCATGCACATCCTATAATGACAAGAGACATCATATAATATCGTTTCCAGGCACATCATATAATGACAAGTGCACATCATATAATATCGTTTCCAGGCACATCATATAATGACAAGTGCACATCGTGTAATGGTAAAGTTACACAATATATTTGGAAAATAACATCATGTAATGGTTAAAGCACATCTTATAATGATACTTGATATAATAAGACACTTTTGGCGTAGAACAATGCTTGGTCATTGATATACAACATGCGTCGAAATCTACATCGCTATAGACATAGACAAAAAATTTAAGAGGCGGAAAATACCAAGGGGACGTTCGAAACTCGTAAGTTGAAGGGAAATTAGCAACACCTTGTCAAACATCGAAATCGACTAAAAGACGAAATAGTCCACAAAACATTACATAGAAAACTAAATACTGAGCAACTGAAACTCCACCAAAATCTGGGAGTGAAATCAGGTGCTCCGGAAGGGTAAACAGTTCCTGCACCACACGTGGCACCCGTCGTGTTGCTCATGCAAGTACAAATCCGGTGATAATTATAATTAAGAAGATGTGGTATGAGTGCCAATGAGACAACTATACATTCAAGTCATAAGTCTAATTCCGTAATGTCACAATCAATGAAAAGAGGACAGGATTGTGGTAACGACAATTGGCACTTATCCGTAGTCATCTGTGACACAAATATTCCATAACGGTCAACCAAATCGTGATGGCGTCCATAAAACTTTCGAAGGGATTGAAAAGTGAATGGTTTCAAAAGATACTAACAAAAATCTACCATCAACACAAATTCTAATGAACAAAACACAAATATGGAACCGGCATACCAACATGTGGCAGAGTTTTGTTGATTTATTGATTGTAGATAAGCACTGAGTGTAAACGAGACAAGAGCAACAAAACATAGAAACAAAATAAACAACTGGATGTCACTTTAGTAATCAGTTTAAATGTGTTATATTGAAATTTGTCTTTGGTAATGGCAATTCATAATTTTACTTTTACAACTGTAATAAAGTTGTTTTAAACAAAACCTTTTTTCATGTCAGCACTGAAGATTAAAAAAATTAAATTTTCACCGCTGGGGTTGTGTAAAAGCAAGAAAAATGTGATCAAAACACATCTTAGAACTAAATGTTCATTAGTCTATACATTTTCTATACATACATATTAGATTTAAGTCTGCGTTCTGCATAACTTTATTTGAAACCCTGTTTCCGGGTGCATGCACATTTGAAATAAAACATGAATGAAAAAAAATTAGTGGTACTCTACTTTCAATGAGTCTATCAAATATCGTAAATTGTTCGGTAAGTACACGTATAATGGTTAATGTCACTAACTTTTCATCCTTGAATAAATTTTGAAAGGTGAAAAAGGTATTTTTTGACATTTTCTTTACATTATGTAAAATTAAACAGCTGTTTCGAACAACAATCAGCTGATTGCCGCGGGTGTGTTCATTACCATTGTGAATAAACCAATCAAATTAAAGAAGGCTCATATATGGGCGAACATTAAAAGTTAATTCGGCGTAGTAAATTTTAAAATTGTCAGCATTTTGATACAATGGAAAGGTGTGCAACTACGATTCACTACCCATCGACGGACCTCACTGTGGTTAACCTCGTGGCCCGGCTTCGTCGTATATAAAGCCATGTGGTTTCAGAAACAGCTGATCCGGCCAAGAACTAGCTGATCCAATGCGAAACGACAGCTCGCATACAAGACAAAAGGACTTAAAAATTAATGAACACTTGAATTAAATTAAACAAGAAGTGATCAAAAATATCAGGTACGTACAAATTGTTTTTTTAGTTTCGATTTTTCCGAAATTTTGTAGCCGGTAAATATAGTCTTCTTCGATTTGTATATGTTCTTAAGCATTTCTTTAATTTGAATCAGTTGATCATTACTTTCAAAAGTACTGTCTTTTTTTCTTTTGATTCATATACAGCTTTAACTTTTTACTCAAAATCTGATCTCCTCTATAAGCCATTATTTCCTCAGTAGAGGGTGACATTTATTTGAGAAAAATAATATAACGGAGAATCAATAATGTAAAAAGATATAGTTTTCGATTTTTTATGAAATTTGAATTCATATTCGCTGAGGTTACAAAACTCAATGAAATGTTTCCTTGATCTACAGATTATACTTGTATAATACTTAACTGTTATGTTATCAAAACAATACAATGCACTTGCAACAAAGAATGCTTAAATGTGTGGTGGTCAGTTTTACTTTATTATTTCTTCAGACATTCACCGATAGTTGGAATGGGAATTATTTACGTAATGCAAGCTTGCAGACCATATCTATTATCATTTAAGCTTTATAATATAAGTAGTTTTCAATATTTAGCCTTCATCGTCTTTATTTTATGTATATCTTTTTTAATTTCAGAAATGGAACTAATTAAATTTGTAACATGTTGCTGTCTTGCGTCCATCTTATTGACAGATGTCGTACTGGCATCACCAGCTAGATCACGTGACATAATTTCTGAAGCTGAACGTCTAGAATATGCCATTGAAGAAGGTAAAAATAATAATGTATATTTCATAATTAAATATTTAAAAAAGTTGTAATAGGTTCCCTAAATGAAGCCGGAAATAACCTAATTGATCATTGTTGTATGTCATGTAATGTATTATTACAAAAAAAAACAAGAGATAAGATGCATATGTCAATGTGACAGCAACCGCCAACAATCCCATAAAACAAAATACGTCTACTTCCACCAATCTTGTGATGCTGGTTTTGTGTGATTAGACAATTAATTTCAGTACCATTAAATATGATCACAGACAATTCGAAGTCCATTTAGAATAACGCATTTGATTAAGTTAATTTACCGTATTGTTACTATCAATATTTTTTTTAATCTTTTTTAGGTTTGTCAGTATATAGGACTGAAAAGAAAAGACGACGAAGACACCGTCGCAGAACAAATTTACTCATTGAAGCAATGCGCATGTGCCGTAATTTCCGACATTACCCACGGGACAGAATACCTGAAAGATGTAGGGACATGATTTTTAGGCAAGACGAGCGTCGGAGGGGTCATGGTGGTCCAACAATTGTCATTATAGAAAAATAGATAAATATACTGAAACTTTTGGAATAAACTCAGGAATACTATTACTATACCAAGTCGTCAAATGGAAAAAAATAAATCAAATTGTCGAAGATTTTGCACCGGAATATACAATGAACAAAAGTGCGATTAACACTGTGTTTTAACAATGTCATTTTGACACACAGAACAAAATGTGGCAAAGGAACAATACATTTGTTTTCAGTTCCTTTTGCTTGCTTGCCTGTATGTGTGACTGGTTTTTTTTTACGAGCGAGTGCAGGATCGAGATTTCTCTATTTTCTAATGTCCTCTTGTCGGACTTACTTTTGGGCCCCCAGTAAGTCCAATTAAAAACTCGTTAGTTGATAAAATAATCTCGATCAATGTTTGAATGGGTTTGAATTGTAATTTATTAAGGAGCAGAGTTAATACGTGCATGTTAGTAAAATGTTTCAGTAGTTGGTACAAAAGATGTAGTGGTATGATGCTTTTAATTGATACGAAAGTTTTGGTACAAAAATGTTTGGAATCCGATACTTATCTTCCATCAACGTATATATATTAAGTAAACCTAACAAATCATGACTTGTAATCGCTGATCTCAATCAATTTGAATGATAGAGAAGATAAAATGGTCAGATTTCAAGCTTTGAGGCTCGAGAATATTATCTGGTAGTTGGTGCAAATACGCACATCATTTTATATTCATAAACTTCCTGTCTCTCTAATGCATTTTACATCAAACATTTGTGCAATATTTTTCTCATGTGAACTAGTGAGGAGTGTATTATAAAATTGTAATGTCTGCAATATTTGCGGTGATAAAATGGCCAAATTTTATAGATTATTGATATTTTGATATCAAAAATCATATTTAATTTATTAATAAAAGTTTTTGAAAAATTGCTCTTTTTGATTGTGTTATTCCAGTTTACCCAATCACCATGGCGACAGTGGGGTAAACAGCAATCGCGAATTGCAATATTTTATCAATATCAAAATAAGGAGATGTGTTTAACAATGATACAACTATCCATCACAGACCCGAAGAATGGGATGTTTCAACAACGGGTCACACTAAAGCCTACAACAATGAGTAAAACCATTACCGTGTAGTAAAGCTATAAAATGTCCCGGGATGACAAAATGTCAACCAATTTAAAAGAGAAAACCAACGGCCTTATTACTGCTGAACGAAATATTTTTCCACATGAACCAACTACAACCACAGGCTCCTGATTGGGACATGCACATAAACAATATGGCGGTAAACATGCTTGTGAACGCGCAATGATAACATGGAATATAGTTATAAAAGCACAACATAATAGCAAGTTGTAAGAATATATTGAGAAGGAAAATAACACTTGAAAAATTTACTGTGTCCGAAACTCTTTTCTGGATTTACCTTTACTCGGAAAGCTCAACTTCAAAATTTGGAAAAACAGGGATGTGTAACATGATACTTGACGTGCTATACAACCAAAAGGGCAATAAAAGACATTTTCGAATGTTTGTGCCAGGAGCAATAGAAATGACACCGACATCCAACAAAGACTTGTAAATATATGGCAGATGTGGAGTATGAGACGGTATCCAAAAACGTCTTGAACTCTACATGTCTTCAAAGAACCAACAAGATTCAACAATGAAATTAATTAAAAAATAATTATTATGTTTACTTATATATCATATCATATATGATATATAAGTATATATATATATATAGAGTGATTTTATAAATATTTTTGAACGTTGTTTTCAATTTAGACTTGTTTATATTTTTTCGTTTGGGCTTGTATTATATTTGCCTTCGGGTTTATATGATCCGTTCATCCTATTTTGACTCCTCAAAATTCAAGAGTCTATCCTAAATTGAGGTAAATTGTATGGCTTTCCAAATACCGTTTCGATTCCTAACATCACTGAAGAGACATTAATTGTCGAAATCCGGATATTGTGTACAAAAACCTTTGCACCTTTTGTTTGCGGTATATCATCTTTTCCGCAAGTTTATTGTTTTCTGTTTAGTATTAAATTTATAATTAAGATCCATTTATTACATCGGTGATCCGTTTATTTGACAATCGCCAATGGCAGTCAGCAGGGTTTAAGAACATTTGTTGTTCGACCTGTTAGTCAAATGCGTTTTGTTCAAATATACTTTTTCACTTCTTTGGTCATTTGGAAATTGTTGTTTGTGCTGTATTTAGACCCCTCTTACAAGAAAAAATGCGTAAAATAGAAGATGCACAATGTCATTAAATGCTGTAGATTGCCTGAAAGTTTTATTGAAATCAAGTTCATTAGCTTCACTAGCTTCCGGCGAGCACTTCGGACGCACGAAATTTATAAAGTGTTTACTTCATTTAGGGGAGTTAATGAAACAATTTACGGACGGGTGACAAAGCAATCACTTAATGATCAAACTGATGGAACTAATACGACTCTTCAAGTAACACTAATTTGTTGAGTTCAATCTGCAATAAAAATCGGTCCTCGAACCTGATACCAGTTTACGTCATAATAGCTGCATATTAACCAGGTCAGATAATTCAAGTTCTTGATAATTAATTTTAGATTAAATTTGTTACTCTATTTGAATATTTAAAGAGGCTTAAAGTCAACGCTTAAGCTTTTTTTTCGTTTAATTACTAGATTTAAAGTGAGAGAAAAAGAATATGACCCATACCTTTATTGGAGATTAAAGAATTTATTTCAGATTAAAAATGTCTTGAAATAGGACCATAATATAATTGTTCACGCGTTTGCAGAGTTGAATTGTAATATAATGGCATTTACATATATTGAAAACAATTTAAAATTGTTCATAAAAGCTTATTCGATTCGTTGGTAAATAACATTTTGTCTAGTTCGTTGCTCAGAAGGTCAAGTTGAAAAGATACCTAGCCGTTTTAGGCCGCACTTGATTCAGAATAAAACGGCTAGCCGATTGTCTCCAGCTCACGTGATAGGCGAACGTTTCAAACAAATTGCCTTCTTAAAAAATGCAAATGCTGACTAAATTAATTCTGTTTAGTTGTATTTGAGAAAAGTCTGATGAAAATTTTTAAGTTCATTCAACATATTAAAAACTTCAAAGTATCGGCAAACAGAAAATATGTGTCTGGTAGATCCAGTTACAACTCATCACTGCCAAGCTGCTGACCAAAGATGAAGTCATTCTGTTAAGTAGTACCTGAGAAAAGTGTAACGGAAATTATTTGTTGGACGGCCAAGAAAAATGCCATATAGCCCCCATTTTTAGAGTGGGTGTATAATTATGTTGGAAAAGAGAGGCGGAAGATACAAAATGGATATTCCAACTCATAAGTCGAAGACAAACTGACAGTGCCATGGCAAAAAAGAAAGTATGACAGACGACAACAGTATATGACTACAAGTAAATCAACAATAAATTCATTGCTATGAGTATTACAGACGACAGTAATATGGCTACAACTGAATCAACACTAAACTCATTGTATGAGTATTACAGACGATAGTAATATGGCTGCAAGTAAATCAATACTTAACTCATCACTGTTAGTATTACAGACGACCATCACATTACTTCAAGTAAATCAACACTAATCTCAGTTATAGGAGTATGACAGACGACAGTAATATGGCTGCAAGTAAATCAACAGTAAACTCATTGATATGAATATTACAGACAACAATAGTATAACTGCAAGTAAATCAGCAATAAACTCATCAATATGAGTATTACAGACTGAAAACATATTAGTAACGTTTGGAGGACGTGTTTTTCAAAAACACAATCGGAAATGACTTATTTTGTCGTAAAGTTTAGTTTTCAGCCGACCTTTTTTATCAATTTTTATATGCAACTCAATATATACGAGGAAGAGGTAAATGTATCTGCGGTATCATACTTTCTAATTCGATGGGATAAATGCGCTCAAAATAGTCACAAAACTGAATTATTTGGTGAGAGGACATCATTTATATGGCTGAAAGTGAAGGTAAAGGATAATGCCAGCTTTTTTGTAAAATATACGTTTTTCTATGTGTAAAACATCTAATTTTGAGCATGTGTGCAATAAACATTCGGGGCTTTTATCCTGTGTACAGTAGTAAAGCTCCCGGGTGCGGGATTTTTTCGCAGTGTTGAAGACCCATTGGTGGCCTTCGGCTGTTTTTTGCTCTTTGGTCGGGTTGTTGTCTCTTTGACACATTCCCCATTTCCATTCTCAATTTTATTTCATTTTGACCTTGGCGATGTAAACACTTGTGATATTCCTTCAAAGAGTTTCTTTCCTGTGTTTAAGAACAGGTACTCGAAAACAACTATGTTTGAGAATGGTGTAATATTAAAATGTTACTAACTTTCGTAATACAATGTTATTCTTATTATCTTCGCTACAATAATAATTCGTTTTATTTGCATCCCTAAAGAGAGTTGCCACCATTGCTGTTGCAAAATTTACAACAAAATTGTCAATTGACAATATATCAAAATATACACGAAATTAATTCTCAGTGCTGAAACATTATCTACTCGGCGGATGATTTACAACCGGCTGCCAGAGACATTGAAAGGTAAAACAGCTATACTGGTTGAAGGTAAGCACTGGTTGTTACTAATGCTTCACTTCTGGTCTTATCTTACTAATAAATGTTTATTGTAAACTATCCTATAACCATTCTTCCATAATGGCATTGTCAATCTCCAATTCTCCAAATACTTTTCAATCTGAAATTTTCTTGTGGTTTTACGGAGCAAATTTGGACCTTGCCATAATTACACAAATGCGGGAGGGGACCTGACTGAGTTTGAGTACTGATACATTATTATTTGTTATCATAGGTTACATTTTTAGTAAGATTACGAGTTCGAAATTATATTACACTTTTCACTGTAATTGATTTAAAAAAAAAATCATTATTTACTTATAAAACTCGTTTTTTCACATATTTGTTTGGGGAGGGTAAGGGTTAATGAAATTAAACAAATATTTTTAGATATCGGTTATGTAAATATATAACAGTTTTTGTCCAGTTTGTAAGACTTAGTCGATATCCGTTAATATTCATAAAAAAAGATGAACATTGTGATGGCCAAATGTATAAAATTTTTCACGTCATTCTTATGAAATTTAAGAAAAACACAAGATAACGATTCTTTTTAATGACCTTTACCCCATGATGACAGATATTCTGTTTAAGATTACTATTTTATCACCAAACGAGAAACAATAAAAAAAAACCCAAATAATGATATATACTAGTATGTCTTTGTATTGGTAAAAGACAAGACTGGAATTCAGACAGATTATTACGCATCAGAAAACAAAATCGTCGTCACAGAAATGCTTTAAAAATTTATTAACGAGAAACAGAGTCTTACAAAAATGCTTAGCAATAATGTGAAAGCGCCGAGATATTTTCGTGAGATTTACTTACCGAATGAAAATTACTGTCACAAGGCTATATTTCTTTCGCAAAAACGTAAAACATGTTACACGAGCAAGATGCTTCCCGGCTGTCATCATAAGGATTGTTTGACACTTCTATGGAATACTGAGATGGGATGCGTGTTATAACCTTTATGTTGACATAAACAATTAAAAAAAAAAATATGAAGACATGTTTGAGCATTCCTTATTTGGAAAATCTAGTTGTAAGACCGCTAACCTTGCCTTAATGATACCCAATGATAGGCAGGGTTGAAGGGTAACTTTATGATCACTGATGTCTTGTTCTGGGATGGCTCGTTAAGCTGGGTAAAATGATGTTTAAAAGCTAGATTGAAAGAGAGTTTAACATCTTGTGTTACCTATTATAGCTGTAACAGCATGGGGTGTCTGGGTTAAACATATATGTATGAATAGCATTAATCGGAATTTCATTCACAAGATTCATTGATAAAATTTCCGTA